GCCAACACCTGCTGCTTCGCGGCGCACACACACACACACGCGGCATCCCCGGGGCTAGCCATCGCACGCGCGCGCTCACAGCGCACACGAAGACAACGATTTCCCCCGTGTAGCCTGAGCGGGGTTTTTTGCTGTTGCGCTGTTAGCGGGCACTTGTGAAGGCCGTCGGCACGACACGCAAAGCAACGCGCCTCCTCGTCAGACTGCGGGCGACGCAGAAGATCCCTCCATGACTTCGCTCCATGACTTCGCTCGACTTCACTGCTTCGCGGGGCTTCAGGGTCGCCATTCCCCAATGGAGCCGCATTCACTGCGCAATGCAAGGCAGCGGTGGCAGACGCTGCTGCTGATGGTGATGCTGATGCTGATGATGCTGCTGATGGTGATGCTGATGATGGTGATGCTGATGGTGATGCTGCTGATGCTGATGGTGGTTCTGCTGATGCGGATGCTGATGGTGATGCTGATGGTGATGCTGCTGATGGTGATGCTGCTGATGGTGATGCTGATGATGCTGATGATGATGCTGATGATGATGCTGATGATGATGCTGATGATGATGATGCTGATGATGATGCTGATGATGGTGATGCTGCTGATGGTGATGCTGATGATGCTGATGGTGCTGCTGATGGTGATGCTGCTGATGATCTTGATGCTGATGATGCTGATGCTGCTGCTACACAAATCGGGAATGTTAAACCCCGCAGCAGTGCGCGCGGGCTGTGGTCACCACCCAGAAGAGACCCGTGGAGCACAGACCGACTCAATGTTCACGAGTCACGAACGCGACGCAGCAGCAGCAGGAGGCATCATCACAGCGGCGGTGATTCACCGCTCCGCTACTGCTGACGCGATCATCTCGGCTCGCCCACCACCTCGATGTAACATCACGGCTGTAGCTCTACATCAGCCGTGCGAACCCAAATACAGAGACACACGGACTCACACTGAGACCCATAGACTCACAAAGAGGACCATAGTCTCACATAGAGATCCACTAACTCACACTGAGACCCATAGCCTCACATAGAGATCCAGTCTCACATAGATATCCATAGACCATAGACTCACGCAGAGACCCCGCGTAGACCCATAGACTCACATAGAGCCGTAAAGACTCACATAGGAGATGCATGTGGAGGAGGCATCACCACCTAGACCTAGTGTCTCCTAGCCACATCTAGAAACACGCTGTGTGTGTCTCCTAGCCACATCTAGAGACACGCTGTGTGTGTCTCCTAGCCACATCTAGACACTTTGTGTGTGTCTCCTAGCCACATCTAGAAACACGCTGTGTGTGTCTCCTAGCCACATCTAGAGACACGCTGTGTGTGTCTCCTAGCCACATCTAGACACTTTGTGTGTGTCTCCTAGCCACATCTAGAAACACGCTGTGTGTGTCTCCTAGCCACATCTAGACACACGCTGTGGGTGTTAGTCACATCTAGACATGTCATGTGTGTCTCCCAGTCACATCTAGACACGCCGTGTGTGTCTCCCAGCCACATCTAGACACACGCTGTGTGTGTCTCCCAGCCACATCTAGACACACGCTGTGTGTGTCTCCCAGTCACATCTAGACACACGCTGTGTGTGTCTCCCAGCCACATCTAGTCACACTCCGTGTGTGGCCCAACACACCCGGTCACGCGCCTTGGCTGTGCCCCCCCCCCGCCCCGGGGGAGCAACGCGAGGCATTGGTGCCAGTCGAGCTTCCGCGTGTGGGCACCTTGAATCTTTAATCTTTAATCCCACTCCTTCCGAGAACAAAGCATTCCCGTGAGCCAGCGCGCGGCTGGTGGATTAAGTTGACGGCGTCACCCTATCCCTGGTTGAAGGCAAATTGATCCCGGCCGGAGAGATTTCTCTTGCCGGTCTGAGTGGAGGCGCGGGTTGCTGCTCCCCCCACCCCCCTCGCCGTGGTCTCTCTGCGTGTGCCCAGCGGTGTTCGTGCTGGTCCCGCTGTGGGGGAGGGGTGGGGGCCCAAGCCATTGTGCCCATGCAACCCAACACTCTGGGCCGCGCAGTGAACCCGCTGTGGTCTTCTGCACTCCTTCAACGCAGCAGGAGGAGGAGGAGGAATAGCGACACGACACGAACTCTCTCTCTCTGTCTCTCTCTGTCTCTCTCTGTCTCTCTCTCTGTATCTCTCTCTGTCTCTCTGTCTGTGTCTCTCTGTCTCTCTCTGTCTCTTTCTTTGTCTCTCTCTGTCTGTCTCTCTCTGTCTCTCTCTCTGTCTCTTTCTTTGTCTCTCTCTGTCTGTCTCTCTCTCTGTCTCTCTCTGTCTGTCTCTCTCTGTCTCTCTGCTGAAGCCCTCTCGTCGTTGCCAGCAGCAGCAGCAGACATCGGCATCGAGCTCCTGAACGCTTTTGCCACCGTACGCGACACGAACAGACGAGCGAGACGCTATTTGTTGATCTGCCCTCTCCTAGGGTATCTTGGCCCACTTCTTCCGACGTCTTTGGGACGTCCCCCACACTTCACCCCACCACACTTGGACCTGTCCATTGACTAGCTGTGGTGGGTGGACAGAGGTGGGGGGGGGGGCGAATTTAAGAAGTTTCAACTTCCGCGCCCGGAGATCGAATCGACCCCCCCCCCCATCTCGAGATTACAACACGAGTAGCGGCGTCCCCGATACATAAATAAAGAAGTATTATATTCTAACTAAACTGCTGTATATTACACCATTCATACATTAACTTCAGTCATAACACTTCCAAAGGAGATAATGTAGATTTGTTCAACTACCCTGGCTGGACATTATAATTGTTATATATAGAAGAGCCCCTGCCCCAGATAATGATAATGTCATCACCACCATCACCACCATGATCATCATTTAAGACAAAGATCCCCCGTATAGCCTTAACAGACTGTTGGGGGGAAGTGCTTGAAACGAGCACCTGTGGAGGCCGGCACGACACACGAGGGGGTGGGTGGCCAGGACCACGCCCTAGTGCCAATGTTTTTACACATCGCACCAGGTACGCAATTGAGGCTGAGTCGACCTAGGGGAGGCACAGGACCCGTTCAGATAATCTTCTCCGGTGTTGGCCGTGAGCGGGAATCGAACTCGGGTCGCCGGGTTCGTAGCGCAGCGCGCTACCGCTCCTCATCATCACCACCGCCGCCAACCACCATGATCACCAACAACCACCACCACCATCATTATGATTATTGTTGTGTCCACGTTGTAAGCGAACACTGCGTAAATAACCCAGCCGCATCATCGTCCGCATTAAAGATGCATGCGGTGCGCGTGGCACGCGCGCGAGCCACACGTTCGCCCGTCTTCAGCACACTCTTATTATTATTATTACGACTTATTTTTATTACTGCACACACAGCTACCCTATTCACCCGACTAGAAAACTCTCTGGAAAGTAAGATTCACCCCCCACCCCACCCCCAACCAAACCATTGAAATCCGGTAATTGTGTGTGTCGGGGATGAACAGGTGAAACGGGGAGCGGTGGTGCTGTCGTTAGCGCGCTGCGCTAGGAACGCGCCAACCCGAGTTCGATTCCCGCTCACGGTCAACACCGGTGACGATTATTTGTCGGTCCTGCGCCTCCCCCTAGGTCCACTCAGCCTCAAATGAGTACCTGGTGCGGTGTGTAAACATCGCCGCTGGGGAGACAAAGGCGGCAGGGAGTGGTGCTGACACACCCTCCTCCTCGTGCGCCGTGCCGGCCTTCATAGACGCTACTCGCTAACAGCACTTGCCCCAACAGGCTGTCAAGGCTACACGGGGGATCTGTACCTTTGTCAAGCAGGTGTTATGGGGAGCGGTGACGCAGTGGCTAGCACCCAGCGAAAACGAACCCCTGTGACCTTTTCGATTTTCACGGTCACGGCTAACGTCAGGCTAACGTCGGCCTCGAGGGTCGTGTATGTACGTTGAACTTCTTTCGCACCGTACGTAGCCAACCGTGCTAATCGGAGGTGTGGTCCTGGGTGCCACTGTGCCCCCCGTCCCCCCCCCCCCATACTTCTCTCTCCCCCCCCTTGCCCCCTTCGCCAACCTTGCGCTGATCAGAGTGGTGAAGTATGGTCAAACTACCCCCCTGCGAACGACCCACACCGCTGTGGGAAGAAGCCCTCCACGGCTGGGCTGAGTCAGAGGTGAAGGCGCAGCCCTGCAAGTGCCGGCTCACGCCACTGCCGGCGGTAGAGGGCTCAGCTGGAGAGTGAGTCACTGCAAGGCCCCGCGGGCCACTGGCGGCCCCTGATGGCCTTTAGTGCGACCCCTGACGATATGCAAATGGTGAAAACACAACCCCATCATCATCATCTTCGTCGTCGTCGCCGTCGTGGTGCTGCTGTCACAACCCCCCCCCCCCCAATGGTTTAAAATGAGTGAAGAACGCGGCTCCAGACAGTCCCTCCAGAGGGCATTGGTGTCATTTATTGGCCACGTCCAAGTGACGTTTAGAGTGCCAGTACGAGGTTGCGTTGCCATTAAGGCGAGGACTTTGCCCCAGAGAGAGAGGGGGAGAGGGAGAACAACCCGGACGGATGGGATCCACGTGCGGGGTTGAAACTCACGGATCTGTGGCCACTGCTTCACTCGAGCAGGCGTGGCATACGGGCTGGTCCAGAGGTCTTGTGGCCCCCCAATTAATTTACTCCTAAACAGTTTTTTCCCCCTTTTCATATTCATTTCTTTTTTTGTTGTAAAGAAACGTTACTTAAAAAAAAAGATTACGTTTAAGATAATTAAATGGGGAGGGAGGGGGGGTGTCACAATACATCTGGACCACACTGTACAGTCCTCGTAGGATTACCGTGACGGCGTTCTCCGCTGCGCCCTCAATAATAGATGCGGGGTGCGGGTGGACGCGGCCACCCACCACCCACGTGGCAGGGACCCAGCCAGGCGGCCGGGGCGATCGAAGGTCCCGGCCGCCCCCAACCGCCCCCGACCGCACCCCCCCCGCCGCCCCAACCCGAACTCGCCCAGGGCACCGCGGCAGCTGTCGCGCGCCCTTTACCTTAAGACGAACTCCGCCATCATCCTCGGGAGAGGCGGGGGAGGCGGGAAGCTCTGCCGAGGTGGTCTGCATGATGCGTCTCACGCGGCCCCCCGGTCTTCAGAGACGGCGGCGGCGGTGGTGGTGGTGGTGGTCACGGCTCCTGGCGTGACTGCCACACGCCGCGTGTCACCTGTCCTCCACGGTGTCGGCGTACGGGGCTGCGACTCGTCTCCGTCTGCAGCCACGGGGGGACACGGCAGAAGATGACGAGCCAGCCGCGCGCTGTGACCAACTCCGCATCCTCAAAGCAGCTGCGGCGGCGGCGGCTTTTGTTGGCTGGCCCATCACCGCATCGCGAGGCGCTTTCAGATGCGCTTTCGCGGCCGTCTGGAACGCTCTTCCTTCCGATAACGGGAAGCCACCGGAGCTGTGCACGTTTAAGCCAACTAGATTGAACACTCGTTTCTTTAGCACTGCTTGCTGTGTTTAGTTTGCTGTCCTCCCCCACGCACCTGCGATTAGCACGGTTGGCTACGTACGGTGCGAAAGAAGTTCAACATGCGTACACGCGCACGTGAGCGGGTCACTCTGTCCCACTGTAGCCGTTGAAGGGGATGTTGCCACGTGGGTGGTGTAAAGTGGCGCTCGCGCGCGCGCTGGATCTGAAGTGTCGCAGGGGTCGCCGGCTCGATGCGATCTCACGGCGCGGCAGCCGCGACAGAAGTGGAACTTTACTTAAATCCACCCCGGCCGCGTCCGTCCTGCACCCAGAAGCTGTCTAAATAGATGGGTGACGTCACCACAGCGTGGTGGGGCAGAGTGTGGTGAGAGTGGTAGTCATAGTAAGAGTGGTAGTTATGGTAAGAGTGGTAGTCATGGTGATAGTGGTAGTCATGGTAAGAGTGGTGGTTAAAACGAGAGAGCGGTCGGTGGATGATCGAGAATGATGACGTCTTGGCAGTCGAGGAGTGGGAGTGGAGTCCGCAGAGGAGATGGAGCGATTAACCGCGCTAAGGTGGATTAAACATCGCAGGCTAACGAGAGATGGCGCGCGGTTAGCGGAGGGAGACCTTCATCCAGCAGTAGACTGACCATGGCTGACGATGACGATATGATTGATGATCGGTAAAGGTAGAGGCGCTGCCCGGCAATCGCTTACGCCGCTGCCGCTGCTGCGCGACATCTCTACCCTGCTCGTCCACGCAGAGCAGCCGTCTCAGAAGAAGTGGTGGTGGTGGGAGTCACCCACACTTTACCCCACCACCACCTCCACCACTGGTAGTCACCCACACTTTACCCCACCTCCACCACTGGTAGTCACTCACACTTTACCCCACCTCCACCACTGGTAGTCACTCACACTTTACCCCACCTCCACCACTGGTAGTCACTCACACTTTACCCCACCTCCACCAGTGGTAGTCACCCACACTTTACCCCACCTCCACCACCACTGGTAGTCACCCACACTTTACCCCACCTCCACCACTGGTAGTCACTCACACTTTACCCCACCTCCACCACTGGTAGTCACTCACACTTTACCCCACCTTCATTGTGAGTCACCCACACTTTACCCCACCTCCACCACTGGTAGTCACTCACACTTTACCCCACCTCCACCACTGGTAGTCACTCACACTTTACCCCACCTCCACCACTGGTAGTCACTCACACTTTACCCCACCTCCACCAGTGGTAGTCACCCACACTTTACCCCACCTCCACCACCACTGGTAGTCACCCACACTTTACCCCACCTCCACCACTGGTAGTCACTCACACTTTACCCCACCTCCACCACTGGTAGTCACTCACACTTTACCCCACCTTCATTGTGAGTCACCCACACTTTACCCCACCTCCACCACTGGTAGTCACTCACACTTTACCCCACCTCCACCACTGGTAGTCACTCACACTTTACCCCACCTCCACCACTGGTAGTCATTCACACTTTACCCCACCTCCACCACTGGTAGTCACCCACACTTTACCTCACCTCCAACACTGGTAGTCACTCACACTTTACCCCACCTCCACCACTGGTAGTCACCCACACTTTACCCCACCTCCACCACTGGTAGTCACCCACACTTTACCCCACCTTCACTGTGAGTCACTCACACTTTACCCCACCTCCACCACTGGTAGTCACCCACACTTTACCCCACCTCCACCACTGGTAGTCACCCACACTTTACCCCACCTCCACCACTGGTAGTCACTCACACTTTACCCCACCTCCACCACTGGTAGTCACCCACACTTTACCCCACCTCCACCACTGGTAGTCACCCACACTTTACTCCACCTTCACTGTGAGTCACCCACACTTTACCCCACCTCCACCACTGGTAGTCACCCACACTTTACTCCACCTTCACTGTGAGTCACCCACACTTTACCCCACCACACGCGGCCTGCTGCTGGGTGGACAGAGGCGAGATGAGAGCACTGGGGGGCTGGGGATTTAAGTTGCCGACTGTCCCAGCTGCCTGGAGATGAGAAGGGCGAGCAGCCAGCTGTACAAACCCTCATTACACTTCGCCAGGTAACACCACCACCACCACCACCACGTCGGTGACACACACACACACAGGACGGCAGGTGCATTAACATGCTGTCTAGCAACGCGGCATGCGTCTCTCTTACGCCGTGATGGGAGCGCGCGCGAGTTGTAGGTGGGGAGAGACGCCTCGCTGGTGTGGCCGGGCAAGGGGGACCCTTACCTCGTTCGGCGGCAGTCGCTCTCGTCCGTGCCCTGCCACCGATGTGCGACGCGGTCACCAGCTGAGCGAGTTCTTAGCTGGACGTCCCCTCCCCCCCGCACCTCCCTCGCGTCTCACGCTCCTCCTCCTCCTCTTCCCCCTGGATCGTCGTCGTCGACATTGACACCCCACCACCACCGTCTCCTCCCCCTCGCCCACCACCACCACTCCCTCTCACCCCGCCACCACCACCACCGTCTCCCCTCCACTCCCTCCCACTCTCTCTCTCTCTCGAGCTCCACTCCACGCGTGCTGATCTCACGGCAAGGTAGAACAGCGCACCGTGCGTCAATTATTCATCTGTTGGCGGCCACCCAAAGGCAAAATGAGACGAGTCATCGCCGCCGCCCCCCCTACTCTGCCTTTAACCTCCACCCTCACCCACCACGCGCCACAGAGCTTGTGGGGGTCACTCGACCATACTTCACCACGCGATGGCCCCCAGCCAAGAATGGCAACAGAACGCAATCACTCGGGTCGGCGTGGAGAATGTAGGTCGTCATTAAATGCACTGCGCACGCAAGACGATTAGCGGCCATCATCCGGCAGTTCACAAGCATCGGTTCACGCGATCGTGACTGCTGATGAGACGCTGCATGTCGAAACCGGACCCGAGTTTGCTCGCGTCGAAGCGATGCTGCTGGCATTATGCAGACACACACGCACAGATGCACAAGGACAAAGGAGCATTGCGCGTAACGTCGCCTGTCATATTTCTTTATTGCGAGGCAAAGTGTTATTGAGGCCCATGACCGGTTCAGATAATTGTCACTGGTGTTGGTGGCCGTGAGCGGCAATCGAACTTGGGTCGCCGGGTTCGTAGCGCAGCGCGCTAACTACTGCACTACCGCTCCCCCGAGCACACAAAGACAAAGATCCCCCGTATAGCCTTAACAGACTGTAAGGGCAAGTGCTGTTAGCGAGCACCTATGAAGGCCGGAACGGTACACGAGGGGGTGGGTGGCCAGCACCACGCCCGACCGCCTTTGTCTCCCTAGTGGCGATATTTACACACCGCACCAGGTACTCATTTGAGGCTGAGTCGACCTAGGGGAGGCCCAGGACCGGTTCAGATAATCGTCACTGGCGGTGTTGGCCGTGAGCGGGAATCGAACCCGGGTCGCCAGGTTCATAGCGCAGCGCGCTAACCGCTGCACTACCGCTCCCCACACGCACACACACACAGACGCACACACACACACGCGCTGTCTTGTATAACCTATCTCGACCGTTGACACAATATCGTAACATCAGAACCGTACGCAACACTCCTCCTCTGTACAAGCGGCTTATCGATCGCAAACACGCGATCACAAGTCCCTCCCACCCCACTCGGTCCCCCCAGGTATACACTTCTCACGTTGTTGGGGGCAAGAGCTGTTAGGGGTCGTCCATAAATGACGTCACGCACCTAGGGGGGGGGGTCAGATATTTGTGACGATGTGTGACGAGGGAGGGGGGGTTTGAGAAATGTGACGTCACATCAAAATGCGCAACTTTAAATAAATATCGAATTGTTATAACGACACTAATTGTTATAACAACACTCCTACAACATCAGAGTGCAGCGCCACATTAAATACGCACTACAATGACAATGGTTTAAAGCGATTTGAAGCATGTTTAATTTTCAAAATGGGAATATGGTTTTGGGGGGGGCAGAGCTTTGTGACGTCATATTTGAGGGGGGGTCTGACTTTTTGTGACGCCGTGTGACGAGGGGGGGGGGGGGTCAAAAATCGTCCACAATCGCGTGACGTCATTTATGGACGGCCCCTTAGCGTTTCTAATACAGTTTTTTTGGGTTAGATCGCGCGTAAATATAAATGTGTCATTAAACCCGCCACCACCCGACACAGCCCGTTAGTAAGGTCTGTCACGTAAACAGAACGTGCCAATTCGTTACCCATACAGCACATCGGTGTGTTGGAGAGCAAGTCTACAGTACCCAGATTGTCAATGTTGTGGCTTGGCTCCCCAACACACCGGTTAGTGCTGTACTCGTCGCGAATTGGTACGTTCTGTTTATGTTACAAACTTTACTCGTTGCCGGTGTTTCGGTTTGTGGCGGATTTAACGACGCATTTATATTTACGCGATCTAACGCCCCCCCCCCCCCAAAAAAAACCCTGTAGTATGGATGATATTGTTCGCTAAAGCCTCGTACCGCGTGTTAAACTGCGAGCGTCTCCTCTGCCATCTCCACGGATCCGTTCAGTTTAACCATCGCCGGCTATCTTTGTTTTTTAGCTGTCAAAGGTCAATTATCACCCAGGTCACGTGGCCGCAACGAGTCCAGCCGCTTCGTCCGCTGCCATCGGCCACCTCCTGCCACGGGCCCACGTGGCACATGCCGGCGTGGGCAGACACCGCGTGGCAGCCCGGCGGCCGCCTTTGTCTTCCCCCCCCCCCCCCACCGCACAGTGCGTGATGTTTACACGTAAGTCATCCGGTACTCGTTTATAAGGCTGTGGCTACCCATTGCACGCGCGACGGTTGGGCCAGCATCGCTAAATGTAGTTCGCACCGTAATGCCAACGTTGACCCGACGTTCCATAATCTTGGGTATGACAGCGTCAGATATACCACGGCCACGGCTGGGGGAATTGAAGTGAGGGTCGTCGGGATTGTAGCGCGGTGTGCTAATCACTGCGCCACTCCCCCCCCCCCACCTCATCCATTGTGTACACACACACACGTACACACACACACACGTACACACACGTATACACACACACGTACACACACACACACGTACACACACAAACGTACACACACACAGACGAGCAGCGAGATAGCACCGCTGTAACGTCGGGACACACTTCTCTTTGTGAAGTCGTCGCTTCAGGTCACGGCCGTTCGTTTATTGTCGCAGGCCTCCCTCCCACGCGATCATCTCTAACTGGTGGAGGGGGGGGGAGGCGAGATGCGCGGACCGAGTTGGTGCCCCAGGGCTTCAGGCGCTGCGCTGGGCGCGACACCACGGGAGGGAGGATCGACACTCACCGTCAACAGCCACGCCAGCCGCGGTCTCAATTGGGCCCATTGTTTTGGGTTTTTTTTTTTGGTCATCTTGTACCATTGAACCTTGAGTTTGCTATTCGAGTGCAATCTTTCGCACTCTTGCGCTTGAGTGTGGACAGTTTTACTCTGACCAGTGAGGATGTTCGTGTGGTGAACTTCTTTCGCACCGTACGTAGCCAACCGTGCTAATCGGAGGTGCGGGGGAAGGGCAAACAAACTAAACACATCAACACAGTTCTAAAGAGATGTGCTTGATGATCATAATACTGATCATCAAGCACATAGGAGGGGTGGGGCTGGGTGGAGAGGGGAGGTTGGGGAGGGGCTGGGTGGGGAGGGTGGGAAGGGGCAGGGTGGGGAGGGTGGGGAGGGTCTGGGTGGGGAGGGTGGGGCTGGGTGGGGGTGGGAGGGGTGGGGCTGGGTGGGGAGGGGCTGGTCACCCCGTGGTGCCCTTATAAAACTCAAGGTTTCACCTACTCCCGCCGGCTTGTGCCCGCTCTCACAGTCGGGCATATTTTCGGAGTACACCACGCCGCCGTTGACCCTGGCCATTGACCGAGCAACCCAACGTTCCTATCAGCTCCCTCCGCAGGAATGTGTTAATTTACATTTTATAAGGCGCAATTTAATTCAGGGCTCTCAATAGTATTATTGTTATGCTTGTTTTACCCAGGAATGCGTCAGGAGGTTCCTGCCAAGTGCATTTTCTTGGCGCAGTCGGATGCTGCTCCTGTGTAATCCCAACCGAGTATTTGCCGTGAATGTTTGCAACCTCGGGATGTTATATCCAATACCGGTTACATCGCGTGCATTTATTGTCGCTATGGGCAGGAAAACTTGAGACCCCGGAGAACATACGAAGAACATACGGAGATCATACGGAGAACATACACGCTCCACGCAAAAAGGTGCCTGAGTCTGGAATCGAACCGAGGTATTCCTACTACGGGGCACGGGTCTCACCACCGCGTCGCCACCACTCCCTGCCTCCCAACGTCCGCCGTGCGGGTTACCACATCGCAGGGGCCTTCATCCAGCAGTGGATTGGCCATGGCTGACGATGACTACTGTGCGTAGTATCATTCTCTGTGGATGCGTGCCCTGCGGACTCCAAAGACAAAGATCCCCCGTACTGTGTGAAGGCCGGCACGGCACACGAGGGGGTGGGTGGCCAGCACCACGCCCGGCCGCCTTTGTTTCCCCAGTGGCGATGTTTGAGGCTGAGTCGACCTTGGGCAGGCCCAGGACCGATTCAGATAATCGTCACCGGTGTTGGCCGTGAGCAAGAATCGAACCCGGGTCGCCGGGTTTATAGCGCAGCGCGTAAACCGCTACACTATCGCTCCCCACGTACACACACACACGTACACACACACACGTACACACACGTACACGCACACACGTACACGCACACACGTACACACACACACGTACACGCACACACGTACACGCACACACGTACACGTACACACACGTGCACGTACACACACACACGTACACACACACACGTACACGCACACACGTACACACACACGTACACGCACACACGTACACACACACACGTACACACACGTACGCACACACGTACACACACACGTACACACACGTGCACACACGTACACACACACACGTACACGCACACACGTACACACACACACGTACACGCACACACGTACACACACACACGTACACGCACACACGTACACACACACACGTACACACACGTACGCACACACGTACACACACGCGTGTACACACACGCACACGCACGTACACAGACGTACATACACACGTACACACACACGTACACACACACGCACACACACGTACACACACACACGTACACGCACACACGTACACACACACACGTACACACACACACGTACACACACGTACGCACACACGTACACACACGCGTGTACACACACGCGTGTACACACACACACGCACGTA